GCTGTTTTCGAGAGTCATTACGAATCATCACGCACGCAGACTCGATGACTTCCAGCATCCCGAATAAGTCGGTTTCCGAAAAAGCTTCGCTACCATAAACCACATAAATACGCTGCGGCAGATTGTACAAAACACCGAAGAGTACAATCTGCCACTTTGCCTTGCGTGTGTGGACTTTAAAAAAGCCTTTGATTCCGCCGAAATTTGGGCAATGCTAAAGTCCCTTCAGCGGTGCCAAGTTGACTGTCGGTGTATCGAAGTGTTGAAGTGTTTGTACAGTAGTGCTACGATAGCTATCTGAGTACAGAACCAGAGTACGAGACCTATCCAACTGCAGAGAGGTGTAAGATAGAGTGACGGTATATCCTCGAAACCCTTCACCACTCCATTCGAAGACGTTTTCAAGCTACTAAACTGGAAAGGATACGGTATTAACATCAATGGTAAGTACATCACTCACCTTCTACTTTCTGACAATATAGTTCTTATGACAGAATCGCTGGAGGGCCTAAGCACTATGCTCAATGACCTCAATAGTATCTCTCAACGGATAGTTCTTAAGATAAACCTGGATAAAATAAAGATCATGTTTAATATCCACGTCACAACTATGCCAGTAGTTGTTGAGAGCACTAAGCTCGAAGTTGTTAACAATTACGTTTACCTGGGACAAATAGTCCGACTAGGTAAGTCCAACTTCGACCAAGAGGTCAATCGACGGATTCAACTCGGCTGGGCAGCGTTCGGGAAATTACGACTCATGTTCTCGTTAGGTATACCTCAAAACCCGAAAACTAGATTATACAACCAGTGCGTGTGGCCAGTGATGACTTACGGATCTAAGACGTGGTCCTTCACTGCTGGCCTTATGAGGATGCTCAAGGTTGCTCAGCGAGCTATAGAGAGGGCTATACTCTATTTCACTACTTAGAAATGAGGATATCCGTAGTAGAACCAGAGTAACCGATATAGCCCAACGGATTAGCTGAAGTGGCAATGGGCCAGCCATATATCTCGAAGAACCTACAACCGATGAGGAAAAAAGGTTGTCGAGTGGCAGCCTCGTACTGTTAGGCATAGTGTATGGTGACCCCGCACTAGATGGAGTGACGACCTGGTAAGACATGCAGAAAGTCGATAGATGTGGCTCAGGATCGAGCTTTGTGACATTTCTTGGGGGAGGCCTATGTTCGGCAGCGGACTGGTGAAGAGTTGTAATGATGATGTAATAATGATGATATGAAACTGAGATAATCAATCCACTAACAGTTATCATGACTTATTTCAGTATTTCTAGATAATAAAACACCTCTTCCCTCAACTTACTATGATAGAGCCACGTTGCAGTTGTAGCACGGATAGGTCGGCACCGGGGTAGAACCACGCTCTCACAGAATACAACCGATAGGAATGAAAGGGTATCGTGTGGCAACCTCCTACCGGTAAACGAGTGTATGGTGGCTCCTCACTAAATGTAGTGACGACCTTGAAGAAATTAATGGATCTAGGTGGCTTAGGAGCGATCTTTGTGGTATTCCTTGGAGGAGGCCTATTTTCAGCAGTGGACTTGCGATGAGTTGTAACAGTAAATGGTGATAATAAGGATAAATTTTCAAAAAAATTAGACTACAAAAGGCTTACCAATTTAATATTTTTAAGCCTACTTAGCGAACAGTAGGTAATTGAAAGTGAGGGGTGACGTTTTCAACGTTAAAATGAACTGTTAAATATTAATGATGAACTGCAAAAAGAGAAACAAAACCATTTTGATGTTTATTTTTGTTTTGTAACTTTAACTTATAATAACTTTGACTCCCATGTTCATTACCATATATTTTTACTACATTATTACAAATGACAATAGTTTTTCCCTATGTACAATGATTGATAATATTGTGTCCCAAAACTATCTATTTTAAGCATGGAGAAACACGGGCCACCAGCAGACCGGAAGAGAGTTGCCATAACGTTTTTTCCCGGTATAGAACTTTCTGTCATTTTTTGCGGGGTGAAATCTGCGCACTCAAAAATAGTCTGGAAGTACTTCAGGAAGAGCTTGACAGATGCACCATATAGGCCAAAATGGCCGCGACATTCGAGGGGATATAACAATTAAAACAATACACATAACAATTATAACAATCGCCCGGACACATAATACATTATTAACACCTATCGCTCGATGACAGCGACAACTCGGATATGGACTCGGATCAGCCTCTCGACCGATGTGGATATTGTACGAGGGCGAACGGCCTGTGATAGTAAACAAATCTGAGACAACACGACGTTATTTTAGTTTAATTTTTAAGTTTAAAAAAAGTTAATAGTAATAATGTGATTAAAAAAGACTTAAACCTGTATGAAAGGTAGTCATCGCCATCTTTTCTTTTTTAAAGTTAACGTGGCAGATCCCTGGTCATAGCAAAAAAGTAAAAAATTCGGCATTTTAGTAGGACGTCTTTTCAATCGTACAATTAGTTTAATCTAGTGAGCAGTGCGACTCAACTAGTTTTATTGCACGCATGGACCGCGTGGACTTATACTTTGACAGAGGAAAACGCCTGCGTGTGGCTACTTCCCTCCAAACCGCCGGTGACCCGTGTTGCAATATGATTTTAAGTAAGAGAATTAATTATTAGGAAGATCACATTTTGACATCATATTTTGACACTACTAACATTTTTATTGTTTTCTGTGTGTTTAATTATTAACACGCGCAGCATTCATTTAAAACGATACAAACGAAACCTATTGGTATTTAATTATAAATTAAAAAAAAAACGTAAATTAACGGCCCGTAAGCATTTTACAAAATTTTATAAATTATTTGATGATATAACAGCTTTTAATATGGCATAATAAATTATTTTATATATATTCTATTTTATTGAAACTAATTAAACTATATCTTGTAATATTCATATCACAAAAATTTGCACAATATATCACAAAATTTGACAAGGTGATGCTGATGAGAAACGAGAAACGAAAGCGTACAGAAAAAAATCATGAAAATGTTTTGAACAGTACGGTTTATACAATGTAGGTTGTTTTATTGGTTCGTATCTCTTTGGCGCTGACATCAGCCTACTATATTATTTTCTTAAGAGGTGAGAGTAAGTCAGCTCAAATTCTAATTTCGCCCCCACTTCCCCGCGCGTCGTATGCTATGTACCGACATGTTTGTAATCACTAATACTCTAAGTAGATAGGTCGTTAGATACTTATTTCATTATGTTTATCATATATATGCCTGTTTCTTAACGCCAACCCAGTCGCTTCTTATTTTTATAACGGTTATTTCCCATTTTAATTTTACGTCTTCCTGTTGCGTAATGTGTTTTCTGATCGTAAGTGACACAACTTCTCCCTTCAAAAGCCGGAGCAATACTAACGGAGCGACAGGAACCAAGCTTACGCGCCGATAGTTTAGGTAATTTCTTTTTACAGTGAAAATAATGGTATTTTAAAAAAAGTAAATAACATAAGCACTGCTTTATAGTTAGTTCAGTTAGTATGCAAAGTTTCATGATCTTATTTAAAGTATTTTATGAATAACAGCGGTTTATTGTTTATTTTGGAGGTAACTTTGGATTTTTTTTCTATCGAGAAAATTTTACGAAATCGTGTTTTCGTCTAACATAATCACTAACTATAATCCTCAACTTTACCATATATTTATTTCAAAATTAATGCTGGAATATTTTCGGCATAACGAAGGATCTTGCTAAGCAATTTGACATTATATTTCCCCTTAAAATGTGTGTATCAATTTGAATTCAAAATCAAGAACTTCTTGATAGTAAAAGTCGTACACAGTACTTTAACATTGTTTGATTTCAATAGAAATCAAATGTATAAATGAAATATATTCAATAGAATATAATTTAAGTAGTGTAGTAAGTAAGTAGCTCTGAAGGTAAGTGTTCTCTTTAAAATTTCCACGAAATCGGCACCAACAAAATTATAAATTGTAAAATGATGTCTTACATTTGCGCCAATACTACACATTAAATGGAACTAATTTTACGAATTTTATCGCGCTTAATTTTAACTTTTATAATTCCCGACGTTTCGGGTGCAGCACCTAGGTCACGGAGGGTACTGAAGTATTTTACGTCCCGATGACAGTTAGTCCGGCTACCTTCAGTTTATGAATATTTATTTTTGGTCCGATATACGCAGAACGAGCTTACAGTATCTTGAAATCCTACAGTAGTGTGCTTGAGTTTGGATTTAATTTTATTGTTATAAGATCTCAAGTACATAGTAGCACCCAGCAATCTTCTCTTTTGAAATTAGGATATTTTTAATTTCAATAAACTTGCGAATCATCCTTGATAGGAATCGGTGTTCTTTTGTGAAGATTTATGGTCTATCAAATCTTATGTAATTACGACGAAGACGATCTTGAAGCTTCACGTCAGCTATATGTTCTTTACGCAGGTCTTTACAAATCTTTATTTGTCCTATGTAATATAGGAAGTTTGCACTCTATGAATATATTCAAGACCCATAGGTTCTGTAAAGAACCTGAAACGTCGGGAATTAAAATAGTTAAAATTAAACGCTATGAAATACGTAAAATTTGTTTTAATTTAATCATAAATTAAAGTTTAAGTATTGCTTTTCCACGTGGTACTCAGCAGTAAAGGAAAACACCGTGAGAAAATTTCGAGTGCATATGAAGTCTAATAACATGTATTAAAGCAGCGCCGCGAAGCCTTCATTGATCTTAAGCTTTTTCAGAAGTGAGAAATGCCCTATGACCAGCATCGGGATTATAATATACTTTTTTGACCTTATGTAAATAAATGAGACTAATCTTATTTGAAATGTGAATAGAAAAGTTTCACGTCTATATTTTTTTTACTTGCTTGTATTGTTTTTTAAAAGTTAGACGCAACACAACAACAATTAAGCCTTCATTTCTAATAGTTTTAATATATTATAGCTTTATTAATTATTTTACATTACACAGTTGGGAATATACCTTATTAATCGAATATATAAAATACCCAATACACAGTATTAAAAATAAGAAAACATACGGGGAAGACAACTCTGGAATAAGTATCTATTACATTGACGTCTCGAATCTTGGGCATTGACGCTTTAATAACGGTGGCACCGCGACGTAGAGCGTGCATTACTTTTGGTTTGCCGCCAGTTCCATCTAGAAATAGAAAAATTGTAATAAGTACAATTAGGATAGTAGGACGATTTTAAATCATTTCAAACCATATTATATCGACCATCGATTGCAAATAACGTCATTATACAACTATGAATTGGGATAATCTAAATTATACAAGTTCGTAAATCATATATCGCAAATATTATTTGAAATTCGATTAATATCGACTTATTGAAATTTTAATTAATATATTCTTATAAAGTTTTAGAAATTTTAAAGTACATCTTTGGAGAAAATTAGTACTCCCTAGAGATGGAGAACGTTTCGGAAATACCGCAGGGGACACTGTGTTTAGCGGTTCTGATACAAGATTCAGAACTAAATCGAAATCTTAATGGCACGAACACTGACTTGTTTAACTTTATGGAGTAAAAATCACAAAATATTTCGTATTATCCTGTTACACTCAAAGTAATTGCAAAAGCATATCATCTAAAACATCATCAAATTATAAAAGTTCAATGCCACAAAGTCTAAAATCCTTTGCCTGAAACCTGAAAAATTTCATATTTTAAACCGGTATTTTAAAATCGTATATTTAGTAACCTGTATCTTAAAACCGATACAATTTGGCTTTTTAAAAGAATGTCAAATTAATACATTTTTATGAAAACTCACAGATAACTAATTTTTTTTTTTTCCCCTTTTTTGCCCCCCCCACTCTTTTTAAAAAAGTTTTTTTTAAAATTTCAAAAGCGTAATTTGTTTATAAAGTTTTAATGGTTCCATGACATATTTTTATATCTCACAAAGGAAATTTATTTATACTCGCATCTAGAGAGGAAGCCCTGACCTAGCACAATGTTAGCATCTGTTACAATTTGTTGACTGTGACGAGCTGATGAGTCATTGAGTTAGCTCGTTAATAAACAAAATTAATAATCGATTGAACCGACCACCGAATAAGAGTACCCAAGACCGTCGAGCACGTATGCACAGATATGCCAAATGAAAGTCCGTAGTCTCTGCCTAATCCCCTGGGTGAAGGGCGTGAGGATTTATGGTGGGCCCTTGAGGTGGAGAAGATGGTTCGAAAAGCATACCAGTCTGTACTTGCGCTCATTGAAGGGAACCTGGTATAGACATTCATCGACGGCATCCGCGACCTTGAAGTCAGAGCTGCTGTGAGGCTCGGGCACCACGTGACGCTTAAGGAAACCTTGAACCATGCACTTGAGGTCGAAGCCGTGCGGCAGGATCATCGTTCCATATTGACTGACTAATTAAATAACTAATGATAGGCGTTAACTAACTCTTAGAGTTCCTGGAATGCGGTCGGGTTCGGTAGCGCAGGTGCGAGTGGTCCCGCTGCAGGCGCAGTGAGGGCGGCGCGCCGGCGTGCGGCGCCAGCGGTCGCGTGCGCAGCCCCAGCAGCGGCGACACGCGCCCGCCGCTCGACAGCTCGCGAAGTGCTATGATCTCCTCGTTGCTGTGCATACCTGCAAAATAAGTACTTAACCTTTTAACACGCTTTTACGCTTCGCTTATCTTTCTACTCACTACGATAATAACGTAGATCGAAAATATGAAGATTTTTTTATGGAACTATCGAAAAATCTGTTGTTAGTAAGCATCTAAACTGCGAAATGAGTAACTATACTTAACTCGAGTTGAATCCGTCGATTGACATATATATATATATATATATATATATATATATATATATATATATATATATATATTGTCAATCGACGGATTCAACTCGATTGGGCAGCGTTCGGGAAATTACGACACATCTTCTCGTCAGGATCAGGTATACCTCAAACTCTAAAAACTAGATTTTACAAAGTGTGTTGTAAATTGAGTGATGACATACGGATCTGAGACGGTCCTTCACTGATGGCCGTATGAAGGCGCTCAAGGTCGCTCAGCGAGCTATGGAGAGGGCTATGCTAGAAGTTTTTCTGCGTGATAGACTGAGAAATAAGCATATCCGCAGTAAAATCAGAGTGAACAACATAGCCCAACGGATTAGTAAGCTGAAGTAGCAATGGGGCCGGTCATATAGCTCGAAGAAACGACAACCGATGGGGAAGAAAGGTAGGCGTTGTGGAGGGCGACCCTCTCTAGATGGAGTGACGACCTGGTAAGACATGCAGAAAGTAGATGGATGCAGGTGGCTCAGGACCGAGCTTTGTGGCATTACTTGGGGAGGCCTATGTTCAGCAGTGGACTTGTGAAGAGCTGTAATGATGATGATATATGTAACGAAATCTTTTAATGTAATTCCCACCAACTTGTAGACAGCCGATTGACTTCAAAATTTGCACTTGCATCTAGGACCAATGACAATACAATAATTTTGTAACTATCCTAGTATCGCGATCGGGATCGTCGGGATAAAATAAAATAGCTATCAGAAATATCACAGTTTTAAATCTATGCGTGTTGTTTAAGTTTTTTTAATTTCTTATATTATTTATCTGCAAATCGAAAGACACATAGGCACTCAATATTCCAAACGTTTAATCGTGGAACATGTACTTTAAATATTTATACAGTTATGGTATCATTTGTCGAAATCACACGACTAGTTTAAGAGTTACGGGTGAACTGAGAAGCAGACAGTATTTTATAAAAAATTTTAACTAAAATGAAATGAATGATTTGATTTTATCAATATAGATTATTGCATAATACTTATTGAAAGTCATTCTTTTATTTACCATTGTTTCGGAAAATACCTCTGTCCTAGTAAGAACCAGCAAGAAACCCAGTGGAACAGTTTTTAAACATATTACACACTTTACAATATTTTTTTGTACATTTTTAAAATGATTTTTTGTAGAATAATATAGCTGTAATAGTGGTGATCCACATCCCAGAGTTCTTTTTATTTATGTATTCTTTGATACTATAATAACATTTTTTGTACAATTTTTCTTTAATAAAATATTTATCTATTCTGGGGTTTTGTTGTAAAAGCGTTTTCATTTCCATTTCCCCATAAGTGAATTACTAATTCTGTAGAGTCTAGTAACTTGTATTACAAGCTGTGTTTGTTCCTAGTGTTTAAGGTATGAATACCTATATTCTTATCAAAGCTGTTTATATTTTTATGTACATACATTACATAAATATAATATTGCGATGCCAAAGGTAATATGTTTATTTCTTTAAAATTTACGTTTTGTCTTATTGCCGTTAAGCAGCAAATTGTTGACGTTAAACCAATGTACTAATTCGATAGAGCATTATTTTCATAGTCAAAATGAATTGACTTCCGCTTCAGTTTGAAAATTAAAGAGGTATCTAGAGATATCATATATAGATAGATATCATATATTCATTTCATTAGTATCCAATACCACTTTTATGTTAAAAAATAAGTGTGGGTTATTTGATTTTTCTCTTACAGATAAAATAAAAATAATATAAATTTCTATTAGTCACTCTTAACGCATAAAAATTACTTATTTTGAATGATTCTTACCACTGGGACACTTTAAATCTTTATCCATACTCGTGCTAGTCGACAGCTGGTCGCGGTTCTTTAACTTAGCTCTTTTCCGTGCACGTGCTCCCCAGTACGTGTAATTGACAGCCGCATATTCAAGTAACGCCGCAAACACAAATACAAAGCACATCACTAGGTAAATGTCGATCGCCTTTACATACGAGATTCGCGGCAAACTGCTACGCACTCCTGTACTTATTGTAGTCATTGTAAGTACCGTCGTTATACCTAGGGAGAACAAGCATATTTTTACTATAAATAAGAAAATCCAATTTTAGTGATCTGTTATTATTATTAATCAATAATTTAAGATGAATGCGGTTTCGCCAGCACGCCAACAGTAGCTTTTGAGACACAAGTGATAGAGACAAATTAAGCAACACACAAAATTCGCCAAGTCGTTCAGGCTACTGGAGGTCGCAAGGATAAGATATTTAATCTACAGAAAAAACACTGCCTGTTTCAAGCGCAATGTAGTAAAAAGTCCACCTTTGCTATGTGATATAATAATTAATATCATCATGAGTCCCCCTGTGAAATGGAATGAAAAGGTGGTAAACCCTTTCATTCCATTTCTATTTCAGCAATCAAGCAGCAGTTTTCTTCTAATTGCTCTCATCTAGTTATCTGCTGTAGTCCAGTCTGAAGGTTATACAGAGTAAGTGTGATTACAGATTACTAAGAGAAGACACGATATTTTCCATCACCGCCGAGTACGTGATAAATCAGCACTTAAAATTGCAATTAAAAGTTTCATCGGTGCCGATGGAGACCGAATCCGGATTACACTCGCAGACTGTGAAATTTACAGCGAGCGCTAACCACCATGTTATGTTATGTTATAAAATTTACTAAATGATATCCTTATATAAATTTTTATACGTGGTAGAGCCATGCTGCAGTTATATTAGTAGTATAGTTGTAGCACGAATGGTTCGGCTCGACCGGGGAAGGGCCACGCTCTCACAGAATACCAGCGTGAAATAGTAGCTTAATGCTGCTGTATTTCGTATGGTGAGTGTAAAGAACCGGAGACCCTTTTTACTGGAAACGAGGCATTCCACCTAAATCTGCATTTTAATTCTTAATCGAGGATAGATGTAGATGTCAACCACTTACCATTAGGTCGACTGTGTGCTCGTTTGTCACCCTATACTATAAAAAAAAATTATAATATTTTAATATAGTTTTTCCGTGTAGTGGCGGTGTAAGAATATCAACTACTGCGGGTCCCACGGGTGTCGTAAGAGGCGACAGCGGTACATTAAAACAGAATATGGACAACAGCATCTTTGTGATGATAACTACCGCCCGCCAACGTGGTAACCATGGCAAAATTCCACCCTGTGGGCAATCTATGACTAGCCTATGTTCAGCAGTGGACTTTTGTAGACTGTAATAGATGGATGATTTTCACGGGATGGAATAATAAGCTTACCTGCACCTGTTATATCCTGCTAAATAACATTTGGATGTATGTATGAAATGTACACTTGCCGACGCATTCTTAAAAACATTTCTGTCCAGCAGTGGTCTTAAAAACGCGATAGTAATGATAATAGATTTACATATGTAATTCAGAGAGGATCTAACTCATACCTAGTGCAACTCTCGCCGACGTAGCCTCATGATTAATCCAAAAAGATACCCACGAGAGCATCACTATTAATATGCTCGGTAAATAAGTTTGGAAGACAAAGTAGCCTATGTTCCTGCGTAGCTTAAAACTTAGAGATAAGCGTTGATAGACGCCCGTCGCCAACTTTTCCTGGAATGTTCAAAACATTAATGTACACAACTCTAAATAGTGTTAAGGAATTTGTTATTTAAGTTTTAAACGCTTTTAGATATGTTTCGTAGATTTATGCTACTTTAATCAACAAAATATTTCATTTGTATATTTTTAGTTTGAAGTTCTTTAGTATTCTTGACTTTAACTTTTATAATTCTTGTTTGTTTTACGTAAAACATGAAGTTATTGAACGTTTATGTATGATATATCAATGGTAATGAAAAATAAAGTAATAAAAAATTAACTAGTCGGTATGATTCTGGTGTCAGAAACGTATTTCAAGAACTATTTATTGCACCCAATAAAGAGATAACAGTCATGTCAAATACGGCAGCAACCAGGCGCTTGGTATGCGATTACCAATCAATCCTGCCAAATTCGGTAACCACAGCAAGTTGTACTTGATGAAAGCTTAATACAAATATTAGAGTGCTAGTTGATAAAAGAGTAAGAATAATATATTTAAACTTTCATTCGCTAACCTTTCTGTCATTAGTTTCATGTCCTAGTACTGTAAACTGTGGCAGTTCGGCATCTTCGACACCTCTAACTGGAGTCTCTTTCCAGTACATGACCACGTCAGAGACAGTGTATCCATCTGCATTATTACACATTCGTTAGCATAAAATAGTATTATATAAAATGAATATTTAAAAATAAAATAAAACGATAACAATATAATTATTTTAAAATCTCGGACTGCCTCGTTGGTTTAGTGGTTGTAGTAGTGCGACTGCTGATGATGAGATCCTGGGTTTGAATCCCAGGTCGGGACAAAAAAATCAATTATTGACGTTTTTCGTCAAGAAATACTCAGTCTGGAGTCAGGAAGTTGGGGGGTGTCTCACCCCCGAGCCTTGGAAGGCACGTAAAGCCGTTAGTCCTGCATCTGATCTCTCTCCGGTCATGTCGGTTTACCGTCCCATCGGCTTATGGAAGTGAGGGAATAGAGAGTGCACCTGTGCTCGCGCATACACTTGGGCACTATAATCTTGTCCATGGCTAGTCTCAGTTGAGGCTGGACATTATTATTATTATTATAGTTATACTTTCTACTAAAAAATAGTGTTGATGAAGTCCAGTAAACATAAAAACAAAGAGAGGATAAATTAAAAAAAAATATGAGCTAGTTTTTCAATAACCTTTTACTATGATCAAAAAAGAACAAAGATATGACAATGTCAATAGAATGGACTTTCTTCACAAAATAAAATATACTACAATAAACCTTAAATAACACATTTGTCGATACCTCTTCCATTATTGTTTGACAATTTTTTTGTTTTAAAGTAAGGATGACAAACGAGCACACAGTTTACCAGATGGTAAATTGATGCTCGGGCCTATAGCCACCAATATCTATTTTTTTATAGAATAAGGGTAACAACGATCACACAGTCCATCTGATGGTAAGTGGATGCTGTAGCCCATAGACATCTACATTTACTCTCGATTAAGAATCTAAATGCAGATGCGTTATCACTCCTGAGGACTAAGATGAAATGCCTCGTTTCAAGTAAAAAAGGGTCTCCGGATCTCTACACTCACCATACGAAAAACAGATACCATATCGATTCATTTATGATTATTCGATCAGATATACTATCGATTACAAATCAAAATGCAGATTAATAGTAAAGATAGAATATTTCGTTAGGGTGAATTGTGTATTCTGATCACGCATTGCAACACAGCTCACTTGTATGTCAGAGAATGCTTCATCCTTAATCGGGTCGACCAGTTTTGTCATTAAGTAGTGATAGTGAGTGAGTGATAGTACTAGGTATACTTATAACATGTTGTCGTATTCAAAGAAACACTTGATGAGATAAGATCAGAGAACAGAGTAGAGACTTTGAGAAAGTACAAAATCCATATCCAAAAACCATATGTTGTGTATTCCACAAATATTCCGCGGAATTTGATTGCACTATCACTCGTTAACTGCTGAGTGACGCTAAAGTACGTTAGAATGTATGTCAAGTGTATGGAGTCACACAGCTTTCAATCTCGACGGTGCAGTTCTGGCTGTCAAGTGGGTAGTAGTGCAGATCCATCATGCAGGCGAGTGTCGCGGTGAAACGCATCCCGTACGTTATGCTGCCTTCGCCGCCCAGACGAACAAGCTTATTACGCTCCGTCACATCATGCAGGAAGCTGTAATTAGATGCGGAGTAAATACAGTCCTACTAAAAATATACTACAAGCTTGGCTATGCAATAAACACAGGACGAGTTAAATTTATTTCTGAGTTATGTTTTGAGTTGAATAAAACGCGATGACATTCATAAAAATAGTTTTGTTTTAATGTGTAGCGTTGGCGTTTTGATAATATAAAGTGAAAACAGGCTAATGAGCTATTCTTTGAGCTTTAAAGGGATTTTGTTTTTGTCTGTTATATCAACATCGGGCTTATCAAATAATTAGGAGTTTGATACTCCGGGTATTGTGCGATCACAATATCTGTGGTATATGCTTATTTTATTCACTGTGTAGTGCAGACCGTGTAGAGACAGAGGGAAGGGAATCAGGAGAGGGGCAGCAGCATCTTCCTAATAACAACTCCAAAGAAAAAACTGTCAGTCGTAGAACTGCACGTCATAAGTGAAAACTTCTAACCTTCACAAAATTGTAAACATTATTTTTGGATTGTTAAGAAATTTTTAGAAAGTATTCTTTATTATAAATTATCTTTATCAATGTATTACTATAGTAATAAATTTTTCATTTATTGTACTGTTTACACGAAAAGAATTATATATATATATATATATATATATATATATATATATATATATATATATATATATATATTTATTTATATATATATATATATATATATATATATATATATATATATATATATATATATATATATACATACCAATTTATAAATACGTATCTATTTTTTTAAAGAATATTAACAATGCAATAAACATTACTAATATTCCCTTTAACCACTCGTGGTAAGCTTAAATTGCTTGTGTTACGAGTGGTTCACACCAGTAGTCGAATGGTGGATTCGAACCCACGACCTTTTTGAGTTCGCGGTCCGCGCCCCGCCATTAGGCTACTGTCGCTTAACATACACATTACAACATAATATGTGATCTAATAAATTTCATTGTTCCTAGGTTATTTCAGCATAATGTACAAACTTTATAGAGAGCATTTTATTATTTAACTTTATCTTAAATCCTAGTATTTACATCAATTAACGATGGGAATATGGCGCTGACAGCTGATGTACAGGTTTCCTAGTCCGGCTGCAGATGCTATGTTTCTAGATATGTACTAACTTAGCTTTATTAAATGTTAAGCAAATATTTGGTTGTACTACCTTTTCGAAAATAATGAACTTATGAACTTATTATTAATAAATTTAATCAATTAGATTATAAACATAGCTTTCATCAAGTTTATGTAACTAAGCGTGACGGTCATGCGATTCATTGTTTTTTCTCCATCCCTTAAGTGCCCAACGTGCCTAAAGAAATTTTCATTTCAAAAATACTGCAAATAACCACCAGACGAGTGTGCAACTATGGTTGATATCCTCCCTATGAAGAATATTATTAAAGAAGCCTGTTGATTAAAGCTACTTTTACGGATTTTATCGTGTTTAATTTTTAATTATTTTAAATTCCCGACGTTTCCGAAAGAAGCCTATGTTCAGAAGTGGACTTTAATAGGATATAATGATGATGATGATGATGATGAATGCATTATAAAAATATTAATTAATATATATATATATATATATATATATATATATATATATATATATATATATATATATATATATATATACATATATATATATATATATATAATATTTTAATAAAGTAAAAACTAATGACAGTGTTTATTTAAAGTGTATATTTCAAAGAAAGAAAGAAAGAACCATTTATTTGATAATCACACTTTACACACAATTTTTGAAATTTAAATATAAATTACAATGGACAAAGAATATGCATGCGCAGGTGTAAGACTGCTTACGCATTAAAAATTATTTAATAATCAGAACATGCATGATGTTAATTAATAATGAAACAAAAATAAATAAATATTAAAATTACGCGAAAAAAGAGTTGATTCAAGTAGATAAAATGTGACATCAAATAGGTTTCCAACTCAGCATAATGCTGAACAGAGGCAGTGATTGGTTTTTCAGTTGAAACCTTGCGACTTCACTGACGTTAGTCGGTGTGTGAACCTCGAATTACCCGTACGTCCACTACAACGGCTTGAATAGACTAATAGTAATTAGGCAGTGGGTTAAAGAGTAGTGCTAACGAACACAGTTAACACAGACATACTGTATTAATATCAATATAAATGGTGTGTAGTACATACGAGTACACTATACCTATACTTACATATAACATATGTGTATAGCATATGTTGTTCTATGGGGAAGACAAAGCAAAGTAGCAATAAAATCTATGATTTTAGTACATATATAATTATATTCTGTACTCAAAGGGACGCGCCATGTCACGAGATCTAGATTTTTTTTAGAAAATAAAAAGTAAGATTAAAAATATATAAATAATAAATGATCATTCGTCACATATGTAACAGAAATAAACAATAATCAATAATATTTGAACAAAGCAGTGTAACATAAAAAGAAGCAACTAAACGACGAAGGAAAAAAATAGGTACGTAAAGTATAAAATGTTACGTAATTACCTATTCTTATCATTGGCAAAAAAAGTGTCTGGCACCCAAATTTTATCAGCAAAGTCACCAGACAAGGTTAGAACCTCGTCTGACAGTCCAAAGGCCAGTCTTTCGTCTTTCCAGTATTGGTTCAGATAGAGAGTAATCGTGTAATCCTGTGAAAAATAACTAATTAAAATTAACTTAAGATAATATTTATAGAAGAATCAATGTAGGACCTTAGGACTACACTCATTATGGGCAGGACAAAGGCTTTGTGTAACGTCCATGTCACACCTACGCTTTAGTTTATAGGAACACTACTATCTAAGTTGGTGATGAGTATGTTTAACTAAGAAAAATTGTCCGACAAGGTAAGTCCACCTTCGATCGAGAGGTCAATCGATGGATCCAATTCGGTTGGGCGGCGTTCGAGAGATTACAAAAATTTACTCGTTACGTATATATATTAAAACTTAAAAACAAAACTGTACAACCAGTGCGAGTTGCCAGTGATGACATATGAATTAGAGACGTAGTTCTTCACCACTGACCTTATGAGGAAACTGAAAGAGAGTTATGCTTGGAGTCTCTGAAGGTGATAGTATTGGAAATTCAGGTATCCACAAAGAATCAGAGTAACCAACATCGCCAAACAGATCAAAGAAATAAAGTGGCAATGGGCCGGCTCGCTTCACAAGTCCACTGGTGAACACAGGAAACTCCTTAGGAACGCACGAAACACGATCCTAAGCCACCTGAATCCATCAACTTCCTACATAAGACATGTCAACCAGGTCGTCACTCCGTCTAGTACCGCCGCCCCACACTTAATTTACCGATAAGAGGTTGCGATGAGTAAGGGAAAACTGTTGATGATTCTTCGAGCTATGCCACTTTGGTTTACTGATCCGTTAGGCTATGATGATAAGTTTATTTTATTATGATGCAATTATTGTGAGCGATTATGGCTGACAACCACTCGTATCAATTTGATTACGGTTTTCTATTTGATGTAAACGTTAAAAGTCAGAGCAAGCTTAAAATCTGTTGTTTTTTTTAAGGCTGTATAGTAACGATATTGATATTTATATGAGCGTCAATGCGAATCACTTTTAAATAAATTTCGTTGATAATCCAATAAGTGGATGGCGACCTCTTCGCGGACCAGCGTCGAGTGGTGTCAAAGGAAAGGCTTTCGATTGGCTGACACAGCGTACGGTCACCGTCGTAGCATCTATGTCAAGTGGTCGGCCTTGCTCTCTTTTTGAAGCTATTAAAAGCATAATGAATTACTGCGATCGACGAGAATGCGGAATTTTAACAAGGTCTTTAGCTTGTGAATGGAACATATAATAAGCTGTGAGAATATCTATTTAAGTGAGACTCTCTATTATTAATAATAATCTTTTTTGGCGCTAAAGTCGTGCAGCCTCAAAACTCTACATCACATAGTTAATATCGTGTGTAAGTGTGCGCTCAAAGTTATTCTTTATATTGTTACCCAAACAAGTAACCAGGAAAGTTTTTATAATTTGTTCCTGATTGTACTCAAAATAGACAAGAATTAAATGTTTAATTCGTCACACACACACACATCAGCAACATAAAAAAGTACATACTTAGTTTAAGCCTTTTATTTCATATCTTCTTTTTCCATTTGTTCTTTTCACATATCAACAAAAGTCTGACTAATTACTATATTTTCTTTTTTTTTAATTATCTATATCACACTACGATCTGTTAACGATTTTTCCTTTCTTGCCTGTAAGCAGTTCACTACTGGAGATGAGTGTACCTTAGGGGAGGGTGATGGGACACAATTTAACATAATAGCTACATTTGGTAAATGGATTCCGAATACTAGATAGATGTCTCGCGCCTTTCACGTTGTTAATAACAATTTTAAGAAGGAAAACCTTTACAGTAATTAGAGGAGGCCCGTGCCAGCCAAGAGTTGGACGAATATAGTAATATTGCTGTTACTTTAAACATATTACATTTTCATTAGTACCTACCTTTGAGAAACATAAGCTGCAACACTAACTCAAGTAATTTTTTTGAGAATTAGGAGTATATGTTTACATACCATGTTGACCTCCGAAATAGCGTCGAAACTGGCAATAGTCAAATCCATTCCAACGTACAGCGGATCGCCTAAAAGCAATAATATTATAAGCAACAAGGCAAAGTAAAGCAGTACATGTGAAATTGCGCGTAAAACGTTAAACTGTTTTGTTGCCGGCAAACTGTGAAGAATGTACATTCTTTATGAGAATAAATAAAAAAAATAATAATAAAATATAGTTACGGCCTATCAAAAGTCTACTCCTGAAAATAGGTCTCTCCATAGAAGGGCTCACAGGGGAGATTTTTGCCATAGTTGCCACGCTTGGCAAGCAAGAAGTTCAGCTGTCATCAGAAAGATGCTGCAGCCCGTCTCCTGTTTAGTTTCCCTCTGGCGACTCTTACGACACCCACGAGATGATATGGGACAGTGCATATTCTTACGGTTACAAAACTATACAGTTTAAAAGATTTTATAATGATGCAAAAACTTTTCAAAACATATTTTGAGAAACATAATTCACAAATCTGTTGCAGAAATTAAAACACTCGTAATAACTACTGCCGTGCCTTTAAAAACGTTTAAAATCATTTTTAGAAAATTTTATTTATAGGATAGGGTGACAAACGAGCACACAGTTCACCTAATGGTAAGTGGTTGCTGTGGCCCATAGACATCTACATCTATCTTTGATTACGAATCAAAATGCAGTTGTGTTGTCACCCGTGAGGACTAAGGTGGAATGCCTCGTATTCAGTTAGCAGGTTTCTGGTTCTCTACACTCACCATAAGCAGAATTGGGCTGCTATTTTACGCTGATATTCTGTGACAGCGTGGTCCTTCCCCGGTCGAGCCGACCAATTTGTGCTACTACTATAATATAGGTGCAACAAGGCTCCACCACGTGAGAAAAACATTACTAAAACATTACTGTTTATTAGAATAAAATGTTGTCTTTACTATATTTAGACTATTACCACCAAAGTTCGGGCGCAATCGTATATCGTAGCCGTCCAGTATGCGAGATATCGTATGAGTAACGTTCTCCAAACGATCGATCATCACCGCACGCTCCAATCTGAAGGAAGTAAAATTATGCTTCACAATGCGTAAATTACTCAGGTTATAACGTCTAGTTTAAGTAGGAAGCTAGAAAACAAAAATTTTGTATGTTTTTAATAAATTAGAAGTTTTCCTAGACAATAAAAATAAGAAACATGAGTAGCTTAGTATTTATGTGGATTTTTTTAGGTAATAAACTAAAGTCACCATTTATTATATACGTTCTACTACTGGACTCAGTCCTCCTTCCTTTAATTTCTGAGGGGTTATGGAGCAAACAGACCACCGCGCAGCTCATGTACATATTGGTGAACTTTATTGACTTCCAAATATTTTTGTTCCTCATACATGCAAGATACAGGTTTCTTCACGATGTTTTCCTGCACCGGCGAGCATACGGCAAATTAGCACTTTAAATAGCAATTTACAATTTTGTATGTCATGATGTAAAATTTACAGAAAACCATTTTAAAAGTAATAAACGTCAATTTTTAAACTGAATGACAAATTCAGACATTGAAAATATCAATGATCGCGCAAATCCAAGGAAAATTACTGACACACTACGTTTACGTAAATGGGATTTTACCGTGCTTGAGACATAATTGCCATTTAGTGCGAGGATTGCCTAAATCCAATATGAAATTAAGTTACGACGTTTTGCTAAAGCCCTTAGACGGTTGGTTTTACATTAATTTGCACTGTTCAACAAGCACTGTTCAACAAGTTTCATTCCGTTAACATTAATTTATTATTAAAAGATAAAATTCTCAGATACGCGCCATAAACGTAATACTTTACTAGAATTTATAAGAAAAAAACAACAAAATATTATATCAATTTCTAAGCGCACAAACACGTGTCGATAAGAAATATTTCTGATTTAAAATAAAAAATATAATAATTAAATTCGTGTCTTTTGTAATGATCTTCAGCACACTTACCGACGGCCGTCGGAAAAGTATTAGATAGATTTTTTACACATAAAAATATTTCTGTTCATATTTCTAAGTATTTTATTAATAAAATATATGAATGTATAAATATGACATGTATAAATTTTATGAATAAAATTACTTACTAAGGTACTAATTTATATGAAATAATAATAATTTTAACGGCATAGTTTAAAAAGTTTATTTTAATACCCACTTTTTAGAGGAATGTCAAAAGTAAAAACTACATTTATATTTTTTTATGTAATATAAATTATTGTACTTGATATACTGTAATAATGTATATAAAAACTTACTTAAACCTAAAGAGACTTACTGAGCCTGTGTCAAAGTGATAACGAGAGGCAGCATGAGTAGGCGCGCGAAGCATTGAGTGTGTTGATAGTGAAACCGCGCGCGGGACGTGCAACGCGCGCTCATCGCGCAACGGAAGCGCCCGGCTCCCGGCACATAGCTCACCACTGCATCGCCGCCTGCTTCATCACCTTCGATCCGTGTACTCTCCACATATTTACCTAACTCGCCAACGATTACCGCAAAGACGGCGCGCCGTGAGACAAGTTATCGTGATCACGATCGCTGTTTCGTGTCGGAGATTGGCGTGAGCGATCGCAGCGGTTGCGAAACTCGAAGTGGCGTCGCGCGTGCGCTACATTCGGCCACAATGGTGGCTTCTCGCGGCTTTTTAAACTTCGCAAATCTTTGTAAGAATGTTGTCCCGCCCAAAGCCATTTCAATGCGAAAATTTAAACACAATAAGCTTGATTAAAACTACTTTTACGGATTTTTCGTTCTCATAATCATGTGCAATGTTTGCATAAGCTCTTAACGTTTTTAAGTACACTTATTGTGTTTAAAAATGTGTTCATACATTGTAGATTGAAATAAAATAATATATTATTTAATGTATGCATTGAAACGGTGAAACTGTGTAAAATTACTATAAATTATATATCTCTTTCTCGATAATATAAAATAAAAAATTAAGATTTCACGAAGTCTTATCTGACTATATTTTCGGTGTATTTATTTAGTAAGCAAACGAGGCGCTTGATTAGTGCTCGGATTATGTTCCCTCTCATTACAGAGTAAGCTTGTACACCGCAGTGATGTAGTATATATATATATCTATATCTATCTATATATATATATATATATATATATATATATATATATATATATATATATATATATGTATAAACGTGGCTATGCATAACTAATTAATTTATTTCATTTTATATTTCCTATGAGCTTAAATGTACAAGTAATAGTGAAGGAGCTTGTAATTTTACCTTGTGATGGCGGATATGAGAATTCATCTGCCAATTTCGTTCCGTGGGTGTCGCTAAGGAGTATACCAACAATATTTTATTCGCGACTTTAGCTTCCAATAGATAACCGTATCACTTAAAAAAATATTTTAAATATTCAAGTCGATGACGGGAAGTATAGTCAAAGACATATAATAATACAATATATGATAATAAACATTTATTGCAATAGTATGCGTGACCTCTAACACTGTGATCGTGTAGTCGCGTGATAAGAGCGATGGTTAAGGAAAACTCTCCCTAGAACCTGGTGAAGTCCATGTCCCAGCAGTGGGTTTTTACGAGTTAATAAAAAAATTAAATGATTTAAAGTAATAATAACTTGTTCTCAACTCGAAAGTTCAACGTGTTCATTAAACTGCATCAATCGTAATTTATGGGATTGACCTACCAAGAATTCGCTAAGCGTCATTTTCGTGAAAAAGGAGTAAAGACCTAGGCCAAAGTTTATTAAGTGGCTGTCTTTTAGAGTGTAATTAAGCCTCATCTCTCGTCACATTGATATACTTATCAAAAATGTGCCGTGAACTTTCCAGCAAGACTCTATTTCTGGTCACATGGTACGAACAACTCAAAATAGACTTGATAACAAACAATATAGGATATATTCAAAAGAGCTTAAACTTGACCCTTCACCAGACCAGATCAGTTAGCTACAAATTATGATCAATATTAGAGGACATATCCTGCTGAAAACGCTACACTCACATTGAGACTAAAACGTTTTAATAGCTAGCAGTGGCTAAGTTAACATTGATGTTAGTGTGTAAACAAGGCTTTGGCCTTCAAATAATATTGTTTATAGTAAATAGCTTAGATTACAGTAAGTTTTTTTAATAGGATAAGGGTGACAAACGAGCACACAGTCCACCTGATGGTAAGTGCATGCTGTGGCCCATAGACATATTACCTCGATTAAGAATCAAAATGCAGATGCGTTGTCACCCTTGAAGACTAAGATGGAAAACCTCGATTCCAGTAAAACGGATCTCCGGTTCTCTACACTCACCATACGAAACACAGCAGCATTAAGCTGGTATCCTTACGCTGGTATTCTGTGAGAGCGTGGTCCTTCACCGGTCGAGCCGACCCGTTCATGCCACAACCATTATAATATAGCCGCAGCGTGGCTCTACCACGTATAACATTTGTATAAGTTTTATTACTATTACACCGTTTCTTCAAAAAAAGATATGTATTCACATGAGTTTACAACCATAGTAGGTATTAAAATATTATAGCTAACACTCTGGACACAAAGATGAAATTAATGACACCTCGCTCTTCAAAATGTGTCGTTGTTTAAGTTAAAGAAATCTTCATAAATCCTCCCCCTAGAGAAAATGTTTCGGCTCTTCTTGCGTTGTCGTCTTCATGTTGAATACATATAAGTTAACTGTCTTGTGCCGCATCGGTCTGTTGTGACGCGGAGGGCAGCGGGTTCAACTCGCACACTGGTAGAAACGGTAGTTAATCAACTATTTGTACAGCCAAAACTATTTGTACAAATATGTTTTTTTTTCGTGTCTGAATGTTTATCCATGGGCAAATTATGTTTGAGATACACTTGTAATTTTTAGTATGTATTCGAAGATACGCAAATATTTTTTAGAAAATTTCCTATTTTATTTTAAAATATTTGAAATAATAAACAGACAGAAAAAGACAATAAATAAGTTTACAAAAAAGAGAAATGAAAAAATACACGATAAATTCAGTTTTCGTTTCGTTTATTGTCTATCGCTTTCGTTCATAAATTAAGTATTAATTATCACTATATCTGTCTCTTTCTATAGTTATTTAGTAAAGAAAAAGACCAACTTGACAACAACGATGCTTAAATTGTGGAAAAAAAATTATATAAGTAAAAATACAGTCAACAACCTATATGCAGTTGCCACAGGATACGACGATTATATGAAGCGAAATGCTAACTTTGGAGATGTGCAAGCAGCTAATCAGAGGACGGACGAGACCGCCGGCTACAAATAACATCCGGCGTGTGCCACTTTCTAACCGAGTAACGCAGCGATATATGAAATAGTCTTCGCTCTCTCCAGCTAGAATCGTAGTGGAAGACTTGAGTGATGGTACGCGTGCTTATTCACGTATTAATTAGAATTATTAGAGTAAGAAAACTTCTATAAGCAAATTATGCAACATTTTTAAAGCATGAGGGTGTAAAACAAGCACACTACCACCTGAATGTAAGTGGATGCTGTGGTTCATAGACATCTACATTTATCCTCGACTAAGAATCAAAACGCAGTTGCGTTGTCATCCCTGAAGACTAATATGTAATGCCTCGTTTCTAAGTTAGTCAATTGGTTTCATGTTAATAATTTGCATTTAAATGGAACTAAAACTAAATGAATGAAATTCGTAACTCCGAATGTCAAACATGTTAATACTAATATAAATTTAGATGGGGAGTAGCTGAGTCTGGTTGATACCACCATTTTTCTTGGAATCACACTTGACGCAAAGCTTCAATGGGGCCCCCATATGTCAAAACTAGCTAGCAGACTTAATTCTGCAGCATATGCTGTAAAAAGATTACTCTATTATAAACTCTTACCAGTGTTGAAACAGCTAGAATAGTGTACTTTAGTTATTTCCATAGCATTATGTCGTATGGTATTTTGCTATGGAGACACGCGACTTACACTGAAATTATATTTGTTTTACAGAAGAGTGCCATTAGAGTAACATATAATTTAAAACCAAAAGAGTCGCTCAGACAAAAATTTAAGGAAATTAATGTATTAAATCTGGCCTCTCAATTCATTTATGAAAAGGTAATGTACGTACACAAAAATAAAAATAATTTTGCAAAAATAAGTGATACACCGAGTCAGTAATTCATTCTTGGGGCGATGTATACGCTTTTACAACAAAATCCCAGAAAATATACAAAATTTGACGTACACTAAGTTCAAAAACTTTATTAAACTAAGTTTGTATAAAAAGGGTTATTAAAATATTAAGAAATGTATAGATGATAATAACCCCTGGGAAGGGTGATAGCTACCAAGCTACTTCTAATTTGTTTTGTGTTGTTAATTGTAACAAGCATGATTGTGGCTCTTATTTAAAAAAAAAAGTCCCGCTGGATTTCTTGCTGGTTCTTCTCAGGACAGAGGTTTTATTTGCGAACCAGTGGTAAATGAAAAAGTGACTTTCAATAGGTTTTAGTTTCTGTTTCAGTTTCTGTTGTTTGTTGTATGTGTCCGATGAAACTTAATCTTAATAAATACGCGCGTTATATTAAATATAAAAACCAATCGGTTGGAACAATACGTCGAATCAAATCTTGTATTAATATATCAGAGTGGGTATTTTTCTTTTTCCGTCAAATATATCTCTGACTCCAGTCTGTTTGATCTTATCTTTTCCACGCCAGTTGCTGCACGTGTTATAAGGGCGTCATATCTCAGATCAATCCTCTAAAAATCTGTCGACAGTATTTTTAAAATGGAGGCTTTAGATTGGAGATAATTTAAAATAATTAAACATCACTATTTCCATTATTATCCTTTTTCCTCACACACTTTTTAATTTTAGTCTACGTATTCAATTGCATGATGACGATGATTTATTCAGAGTAATTTTGAAATAGAAGCCAGAGAAGGTTCAGAGTAAGTAATATATGCAAATGATGAAGAAAATGAATAAATAAAAATCTCAAACATTCTGTCCTTTTAATTTTTTAAATTCACTTAATGATAGAAAGGGTCATTAATGGTATTGAACCGAGCTTTTAATACGAAAAGATTTTAGTAATATTTTAGGTAATATAAAACATTATATGGCCATTTAGCAGCGGAATGAAATCTTAACTTCGCAAAGGCACGTAAGGCAACGAAATGACGGTAATTTAAAATACCTAAACGTTCGAGAAAAGTAGCTGATGTGAAGCATCACTTTTGAAGCAACATTTGAGGTGATAATACCTTTATTTATAAAAAGTTTGATGTATATCCATTCAGCGGGCAAATGCAGGTAACCTTTTTTGGAACT